AGAATGGATCTAAACTATCCACCAACTCCAACTCTGCGTCTCCTTACCTGAATACAATCCCCTCTGAGAATGGATCTGTACTATCCACCAACTCCAAATCAACGTCTCCTTACCTGAATACAATTTCTCCTGAGAATGGATCTAAATTATCCATCAAATCCGAATCTACGTCTCTTTACCCGAAAAGACTCCCTTCTGTGAATGAATCTAAACTATCCACCAACTCCAACTCTACGTCTCCTAACCTGAATACAATTCCCTTTGAGAATGGATCTAAACTATCCACCAACTCCAACTCTACGACTCTTTACCTGAATACAATCCCCTCTGAGAATGGATCTAAACTATCCACCATCTCCAACTCTACGACTCTTTACCTGAATACAATTCCCTTTGAGAATGGATCTAAACTATCCTCCAACTCCAACTCTACGACTCTTTACCTGAATACAATCCCCTCTGAGAATGGATCTAAACTATCCATCAACTCCAACTCTACGTCTCCTAACCTGAATACAATTCCCTTTGAGAATGGATCTAAACTATCCACCAACTCCAACTCTACGTCTCTTTACCTGAATACAATTCCCTCTGAGAATGGATCTAAACTATCCACCAACTCCATCTCTACGTCTCCGTACCTGATTACAATCCCCTCTGAGAATGGATCTAAACTAACCACCAACTCCAACTCTATGTCTCCCTACCTGAATACAATCCCCTCTGAGAATGAATCTAAACTATCCACCAACTCCAACTCTATGTCTCCTTACCTGAATACAATCCCTTCTGAGAATGAATCTAAACTATCCACCAACTCCAACTCTATGTCTCCTTACCTGAATAGAATCCCCTCTGAGAATGGATCTAAACTATCCACCAACTCCAACTCTATGTCTCCTTAAATGAATACAATCCCCTCTGAGAATATAACTAAACTATCCACCAACTCCAAATCTATGTCTCCTTGCCTGAATACAATCCCCTTTGAGAATGGATCTAAACTATCCACCAACTCCATCTCTACGTCTCCGTACCTGATTACAATCCCCTCTGAGAATGGATCTAAACTAA